CTAAACTTCCTTTTTTGAAAATAAATATTTCTGAGTAACAGTGATCCGAGATGAACTGAAAGGTGTCCGGTTAACTTTTTATCAATAGTTATGAAAGAGCTCTGGAAATCTTATAAAATTTAAATAGTATAATTGATTCAATATTCAAATTGATTTTTTTTCTTCACGCTCGATCTGACCTCGAGAAATATTATTAGCCGAGAAAGCATCCAGACTATATCTAAATGGTGAAAGAAATGAAAAATTTCTGATTTTTAAAATAATTTATCTTAATAGTTAAAAGTTAATCAAACCTTTAATCTATCTTTTACACACAAGGTATGATAAAATTGTATGCGACTTCATAATGTTCCGGCTAAGTGCTCTAATAATTCCTTAAGCTCCTACAATATTTTAACTTAATGACTTTAGATATGTCCTAAGCTAATCGAGCAAATCTAAAATTAAAAATATATATATATTTTAAGGTGTGTCCATAAGACTCCACTATAGAAGTGAAAAAATCAGTCAGAATTAATAATACTAAATATAAACATTGTTTTGTTCTACATTCACAAAGTATTAACATTTACAATATATACAATTATAATTGTGTAAAAAACCACTGTGGTAAACTTTCATAAATTACTCTGCCTGGTCGTCATTTGAATCATACTCCTAAAAATGAAACAATAGATTAAAGATAACCAAAATATATGTTGATCGTAAATTCTCATTATTTCAGTATGAATCATCATATTTAATGTGACTCTATTAAGTGTGAGATTTCTCCCTATTTGCGTCTCTTACACGATTTTTAAGCCAAGATAAAATTTTGAATAGTATCGCATTACAAAGGGGATGAAATGTTGAACATTTCTCTCGCTTACAATACGCAGGTCTGATTTTTATTTTATGAGATATTTTAATGCAAATGCAAAAATTAGTCGACTCGATTAAATTAAATCACCCGAATGAGCGTTACATATTCGAGCGTGATGGCTCCGTCTCATTCACTACTCACAAAAAAAGTGCTAAGTGGTCCTAAAGAAGTTTTCCTTAAAAAATTAAATTAAAATTCAAGAATTATAGCTTTTAAGTTATTCTAATTTCTGAGAAGCTGCTTAGCAAAACCGTTCAACAATGTACATTTTATGGGAAAAAAGGAAAAAGGAATGTTTTCAGGACCCTCTACCCTTAATCTTGTTTATTTGTGACATATATATATCTTAAAATATATAGATATCAAATGTTTCATATCCAATTGCTCTAAGAACTCAAATATTGTGATATTTATGTATTTATGGATAATATCCATAGTTAAACATTTTTGAAATAATACTCCGCTGAGATAGTATTGGAAGATGTAGGATCAGGTGGAAATTGTCGGCAGACCTAAAATGTTTATGTGCGGTCCTGCGCTAAGCATCCCAACATGTCTTGATCCTCCTACATAAACAAAACATGCAAATATGCAAAATACGTCTAATAATCTAGTTATTCTAGAAGTATAAAAATTCTAAAAGGGATGGGGAAAAAAGCCAAGGTAGATCCTTGTTTTTTTTTTTTTTAATGATGAGAATAATTATAAAGGTGAAGTGGCTTTATCCTATTTCCCGATGGAAATTCCTTCTTGGTGATTTTCTTTTTCAAGTCATCACAACCGAAAATTCTCCTTAAATCCTACAACTCCTTACTCTACGCATTCTCTTAATACCAGATCTCAACCTATAGACTCAACCTTCCTTCCATAAAACAACTTATTTTAGAAAATCCTTCGTCATTCTTGATACCTCCTTTTGGAACTCCTTACTTATCTCCATAAGCCAAACTACGTCCACAAAATCCTTCAAACAACTCCTATCCTACCTGATACGCATTCAAACTTCCGCCAGAAGTAGTAAGAATTTTTAGGCTATTGAAGTACGATTGATCACCAACAGTTAAATGATCAGAGACTTTAAATTTTTATATTTATTTTTCTCTCTGTATTTTGTGTATATATTTGTATTAAATTCACATGCCAGACTGAAGTATGTATTTTCTGCACTCTAATTATTCTAATAGAACTTTAGTTACAGAATAAAATTATTTTTTCATTTCACTATCTTCATGCGATAGGAAATTGTTTTATTATTTGAAAACGTTTCTTACAAGAGCTCTTTAGATCTTTTACTATTTCTGTACAACATTCTTATGATACCTTTCAAGGAATTGAAAACAAATTTTCTTAATAGTATGAAAATTGTTTTTCAATAACATATTTAAACAATAGTCCATTTACAAAGGGATTGGTTATTGTATTATATATTTTTACGACCTGACAGATTCAAGATGTTTGGCGGCCGATTTATTATTAAAACCTAAAAAAAAGAATAATTAAGAAAAGCTGACGTTTGATCCGGAAAAAAACTTTATAATTATAAAAATTAATATTGGATTTTTTTTTTGGTGTTGGAAAAACCAGACGTTCATGAGAATTGCCCCTACTGTGAGACTTTTTCTTAATTATATTTTGGGCTTTAAATGAAAATTGCATAGATACTTAGAGAAGGAATCTTCGTGGGGCCTACTTTTTTTCATGGGCTATAAGGATAAGGACTAACGGTCGTTGAATATACCGTACCTCCATTGAGTGCTGGAATAGCCTTAAACCTTTTTAGTTATAAGATCTTAAAATGGTGCAATAATTCTTTTCTCTGAAATCTTAAACTTATTCGAGAGTGATTTCTACTCTATGCTTAAGACATTGAGTACGTTTGGTGGAGGTTTACTCAACCATTAGTACAAAGTAAAGTTATACAGATCCAAGGGCATTCATGAACAAACAACTTTATTCTTTATTTATTATTTAGTTGACTACGTCTCTGTATTCCTATTCGGATTTAAAAATTGCTTACCATTTTTTTATTTTTTATATTAAAAACCTAGTATATTTAGACCTTGTGTAACTAAAACAACTGTAACGTATCAACAGCTAACTTATAATAAAGTGTAATTTTGTTATATTTTTTAAAATAAAACAATACGAATTGAAAAATCGTCAATTCAATCCACAAGCTCTGCAATTTTATTATTTTTAAATAAATTTTATTACATTAACATTTACAACTAGGAAAATTGAACACTTTTATTAAAATCAAAGTAAACCTTTTTTTAACGGAATTAGTTAGTTAGAATTAGTATATTATTAACAGTTTCTCATTATTGATAATTTTAAAGTCTTAAAATAAAATTTTAAAGGTGTAAACAATGTTTATTTTTATTAATTAGTAGATTTATAAAAAATTAAAAAGATAAAATATCGCAAGCAGAAGTTGTAAAAACAAATGCATGGTTATTATTTATATACTATTTGACAAAAGATATCTGTAAGAATGAAATCTAAACCATAATATTAAATTCTAAAATATTGTAACTTATTAATAAATAAGAGTGGCGTATTCTCCAATAATGGTATATACGTAGACACATATTCTTAAAAACATGCTTTAAAAAATTGTTACTATTAAACTATTTTTATATTCATATTTGTTAAAATTATTTACAATATTTTCTGTATGAGAGTTAAAAGATTTATTTTATCTAATGAATTATAATGCAGCTATTAACAGGATCAATCAGACATCCCACTCAGAATCATCAAATCTGAGTGTCAAAAATATTTTTTTTTAGTTTTAACTAATTTTAGTGCTTTGTTATATATATTAATCACACATTAAAAATTAATATCTAATACTATAACCAGTATTAAAAAATGAATATTTCTATTGATCCAGATTAAAATAATTAATCATTCGGTTTGCAATAACCGAAATTATTTTAATGAGGGTGAGAGGAATCGATAAGCTTTCTTCGGAATATGGTACTTGAAGAAAAACAAATTGCCATCTATTTAATAAGCTACACCAATACCAATATACGGTAAGTATATGTTCATTTTCCGGCTCTTAGGAGCAATTAATTTTTATGTATGAGATATCAAATGAAAGGGAGATTATTTTTTGAATTTTTATTATTTCTTAATGATATTTACAACTGTATTAAATAAGTACATCTAGTAAATTTGAACATAATGGATATACTGACATGAAAACACTTGCTGAGTAAGTACCCAATGGTAGCACTCTAGGAGTTTAATTTAAAAAATCCCTAGGTATGGCTTCTATCCTCTCAGTAATAGACTTCCACACTCATAGTAAGGGAGAGCACGACAAACCATGGCTTTTCACCACTAAACAAATGGATTTTGAGCGAGTACAATAATGGATTAGTGTAAGCTCAGGGATACTTGTGTCTTTTAGCTTAACAAATAGACTGAAGAGGTACTTTCCAGCAATGCAAGCTAATCACAGATCAAGTAAATTGTTACTTTAACAGTAATGGTAAAGTATCAAGTTCCATTAATTGTGCAAGTTGAATAGGCTAACGTGATATTGTTTATACAAATAAACATCTTTAGCTGATTTAACTTATATGTCAAATGCATTAAAAATATGTTTAATGTGAAAGTCGTTTCTGGTGTGTACCAATTAATACATATTTACGTCTTCAATTAACTTATCGTGTGCCAGTCATTGTATATTAAAAAATATATATGAAATATTATCAGAACAATTAATGCACATTTTTACATTGCAAAGGAATAGATTCGTTCACATTCCGGAAAAATAAAATAAATAAATAAAATCCTACATACAGAAGAAATCAGCCTTATGGAATAAAATTAACCTTGAAGACCTATCTTCATGTGGTGACTATAATACATAGTAAATAAGGAGCTCTAATTAAATAGATAATTTCAAAATAATTGTTATTTAAATTATTTTTATTGTTGATGTAGATATTTATCTTTGCTGGTATTCATTGTATGTTTACCTTCCTCGAAATTATGGAAAGATTAATTGATTAAACTTTTTTTTTTCTCCAAACAACGCACATTTTTTAAAATCATATAAACTATAAAAATATCATATGTATAGCTATGACTAGGACAAGAAACGTTTAGATGAGGTACTCACGATGAGAAAGAAGAGCACTGGAAGACTCGCCATGGCTGGAGGAAGAGACGAAGACTGACTGGGTTCTACCTGGTGAGCTGGGGTAGGTCCCGCTTCCCCTACCATTTATCCCTCCTGGTTCATTTCTAACTCTTAAGGTCGTTCGTAGTTTTTCATATCAAAATCTTTATTATATTCAAATATCGTCCTATTTAGGAGCATATATACATCTTTCCTCACATGAAAATTCTTTGGAAAATCTTTTTTTATGAAAAAAATACGCATATATTGAGCATAGTAAAGATCGTTCCACTGCACTTAATTCTAGACTAAACTGATACTAACCTACCCATCAATCTCAAAATAAAAATGAGATTATTCGGGAACCATCAATATATATTTTTAGTCTTTGAATAGTTCTATCCTGATTTAAGTGTTGTTAATATTCGTTAATTGATCAACGATTGAATTTTCCTGTGCAACAATGACGTGATAGCAAATCCATACGTTTTATAGAAGCTTGTCATTGAAACGGGGAAAAAACTTATATTTTTAACTTTTTTATTTTCAGTTCTTTTGGAACTAGAAATTTTCCCTTGCAACTTTTCAGGTTTCACAGAACTTTTATTATTTATATAATATATGACTTATTCAAAGCTATTCTAACAAATATCACATTAGAATCATTTGTAATATATTTAAGACAAATTATAAATCTAATATAAACCCAATTACTGTTTATTTTTAATTTAACAGAACATTTTTTTAGAACGAAATTAAATACAAGTTGAACTTATATTTATAATAATAATACCATAATAATTAAATCATATAATAATACCATAAACCTAGAACTTTATTACAAAAAAGTCCTTTAGAACTTTTATTTAGAAAACTTTTTCCTAAAAGGTTTCAAAGAAACTGTTAAAATGGAACTTTTTTCCTAAAACGTTTCACAAAAACTGTCAAAACGAAAATTAAAAAAAAAAAAAAATTCATATAAGTTTCAACCACTGATAGGAGAGGCAAAATAATTAGAATTATATTGTATTGATAATTTTTAAAATTTTACCCCTTAAAAATACTTTATGCCATTCAAATGTTGCTTATATTATTCTATGACGTTTAACGAGATAGAATATTTTCCAAAATTTACCGTTGCTGTGTTGTTCCATCAGAAAAGCGAAATCTAATAATGGGGCAGCTCAAAAATATTTTTTTACGTGAAAACCTCAATTCATTATAATTGAGAGGCTCACTGAAAAAATATATAAATAAATATTGGAATTATCCCATAATTTGAGCCGAAATAAGATATATTACGCGCATAAGATGCCGACTGAAGGTGGCAAGCCCCGGAGATAACATTGCTAATACCACGATTTATTAACATATTATTAAATTAACTTTGAGAAATATTGTTGTTATTTCTTAATAATATTATTTATAATTAAACAGGACCCCGTTAGTACCAATTCGTTTAAAATGTTAATTACATTTCACTCGTTATTAACCAATTAATCGGCCAATACTGTTAATGATAGAAAAATTAGGCGTTAGATTGTTACTATGAAAAATTATAATAATATTTTCATAACAATGTAACTGGTGAAATTTTAGTGTCTACTCATTTTTATATAGTTTTGAATTATTTTTAAAATGGAGGTGGTCTTATTTTTAAATTGTTGGTATTCATAGCCATATCTGGCAATAAAGCATTCCTTTGGATATATTTATGATCATAAAAAGGAAAAATTGTTGAAATCCATTTTAGGAGACTAAGAAAAAAAAATTGGTAACCAAAATATAGAGTATTAGATTGGTGACCTAAATATAATCACTATTATATATTTTGGCGAATACAAGAAATGAAATTGTAAATTGAAGAATTCATATGTATATATGACTTTTTATTTTATATACATCAGTTCTGAAATGACTTAAAAATTAATCAAAAAATTTAAATAAAAGAGTAAAGTTAAAAATAATATATGGGTGTGTCGCCGGATGCTCGATAGAAGCAGAACTAGTTTTGGGAAGGTTGTATTTATTTTATCAGGAATTCTAGAGTGTTATTTTAAAACTTTTCGTGGTAATTCATATTATCTGTTATATAAAGTAATAAAACATGATAAATTGATATTGTAACAATGATTTTGGAAACGCATATCTCTCCAGCATTACTGTATACGAATATCCTGCCTAACATATTATCACAGTATTATTCCTCACATGAATTTATTTACTATTACATAAGTGTTTAAAGATGTTAGAACCAGGTAGAGATGGGAAAATGCTACCCTGAGTACCGAGTACCAAGTATTTTACTCAAATTTAATCACTATTGGGCGCTAGCGGATCCAGGATTTAATTTTTTTGGGGGGGAGGGCTTCTGCCCGAAAGCTTTTTTTTCATAAAAATGACGATAATTACTTTGGAAAACAAAAAAGAAACTATCTATGTGAAATGGTGTTTAAGCGATTCCTTAAGTCCTTTTAAATGTACTTACACGAACAATAATACTTTAAGAGATAATTTTTAAAAAAAAAATTTCCATTAAACATGGTTATATTTTACCATTTTTGGGGAGGGGGGCTTCAGCTGGGATGGAGGTGCTATTGGGAATTCAATCAGTACTTCATTTAATCGTTTGACAACAACTGAAGTAGTAAATAAATTCTTTGGTACTCAGAAAGGTCATTATTTGAGTAAAATGCTTGGTACTCAGTATTCAGATTAGCAATTGCCCATATCTGCAACCAGGTTAGCAACAGAAAAATATGTTTATCTTCAAAAAGTAAAATAAAATATTTTATACTATTACCTCAAATCTAGGGATTGTGTGATTCAGTGCCAGCTTGTTATAATTAATTTATTCACCTGTAGAATTTAAAATCAACTCCAAAGTAAAGTGAAACGTTTGCTAAGTAAGGCCAGTATAATGTCTATATTTCAAAGTCTATCATTTTTCGTATGAGAATAAAATCTCCTAGAGAAGCCGCTTTCGGAAATACAGTAATTCCTTAATATTCGCAGGTTTGGTTTCCACGAATTTTGTTCATCAGCGAATACTAAAATGTGGAAGAGCTCTACATTTGCAAATCGCGTATTTGATGATTCGTAATTGAAAAAAAAAAATCCCAGTACATAGGTACTGAAGATGTATATAGCTACTGTCAATGCAATAGGTATTCAAAAAATTGAGTGTTTTTCCGGAGAGCATAAAAAAAATTACTTCTTTATGATTTCACAGTGTTATTTCAGGAATGTTCCAATAGAAGGTAAAAGATCAGGCGGAAGACCATAAATTAGATGGATAGATAGAATCAACAAATATGTAATAGAGCGTGCTGATAAATGGAAAGAAATAGCCCAAGAGAGGCAGAGATGGAGCAGGCTTATTAAGGCGGCTAAAGATCTACATGTAATGGTATGTAATGCCAACAGAAAAAAAAGAAGTGTTATTTCATATTTTATTTTCCTCTGCTAATTTCCACAGTACCAAGCTACCTATATCACCTGTATACTACGAAATGTCACATTTAGCACCAATTTAATATGGAAAATCGTTACATACGACCTTTTGCACTAACAGCATAATACGTACTTAATACTAGTACATTTTTTCACAAGTATTTCACTCATGATGATATGTTTGCACTGGTAAAATGGATGAAACAAAAAATCCATTGGAAAAATTGAACTTTTTGTTAGTTCGGGATTAACAAAACTAATATGGAAAGGAAAATAAAAATATGATTGAATTTTCTCACAACTTTGATGATTTAGGAGTAAATCGAGAACTCGACGGCTGGTTGAACTTCAATTAAAACAAATAAAATCACAAATAAGATTTTTTTTTTACAAACTAAAGAAAGTACAATTTTATTAAAATTTACTGAAAATTACATGAAATCTAAGTGAAGGCAGTAATTGCCATGCCCGTAATGATTAAAATCGACCAGATTATGCAGTATAAATTAACTTTTTGAATAAATCCTTAAATGTTATAACCTCATAAAAATATTGTATTAACGTTAACCCCTATTCCATGTGATCAATGCCTTCGATATTTCACAGCCATTATATTGCTAACAGTTATTTATATTAATTTTAGTTATTAATTGGAATCGAATGAAATTGGTACTAGACAATTTCTGAACTATTCTTTAAGTTTGGGTCATATTGAACAAGCCGATTTGAAACAATAGGCTTCTAAAATAATACGTTCACTGGACCGAAAGCAGAAGTCTTTTTCTTGAGAGTAGGGGATATAATTTGATATAATTGATACTTACACAATTATCTGTTAACCAATCCCTAACATCACTTTAAATTTGAGCCGAAAAATAGACGTATCACGAAAACCGCGTTTGCGCAAGTATGAGAAAGTAGAGAACGGTTTTCAATAAAAGTGATGCAGAATCATTATTTTACAAAACAAAACTACATTTCTGTCATCTTTGAGCAAAATCGAGCCGTTTCTGAAATATTGGCATTTCTATGAAAATAAATTTATAATACATGCGCAAACGAAAGTTCTGGATAGAACTTGACAAAATTAATATGGCACTAAACATTTCATGAAAATTGGATGAACGGTAGTAAGATATACGATTTTAGTAAGATATCCGGTAGCGTTCATCCGATTTTCATGAAATATTTAGATATTGTGCGGATTTGTGCTTTTATGGTCCCATATTATACAGTTCTATATGGTCCCCAGAACTTCCGCTCTCCTCACATCCTTGGTGGACACTTAAATGCCAAGAATCAATAATGGGCTTCGAGAACCACGAATTCTAGTGGTAGAACATTGCTGTCTGCACTAAACTCCTAACGTTTCAGCCTCATTCCTCCCAACTCACGCACCTACTGGCCCACTGATCTTAATCGCAATCCTGATATCCTTGGTTTTTTCATCCACAGTAGTTTAGGTCCTCAATCATTCCCTTCTTGATGAACTTTCCTCAGATCATAGTCCATTAATACTTCAATTATCAATAGCTCCTATTCCTAAACTCTCTCCACCACCCTTCTACAGTTAACTGGAAACTATTTTACTTATACTTTCCCGACA